GGGATGCCTGTCTTCCTGGGAAAATTGCTAAAAAGCCTAACCAGATCAAAGGTGCACAGGGGACCAGAGAGAGAGCATCTTTATCCATCCTACAATTAATAAACAACCAGTGTAGACCACCTATGGCCAACAGAGTTGATTCTTTTAAAATAATTTTTTCTGTGTAGGCTTTTTGGTTCCAATGGATACATAATGGTGGTTCTCTCCAGTGTTCACTGTTTCTGATGTGCACGTGTGGCCTACCTCAGAGGAGACTGCATTTCACTGACAGAGCACATACAAAGTGCTGTTTTCATAAACTGATAGTTTATGAAATGCTCTCCTTGTGATCACTGTCCTTGCTATACTGGTATTGCAGAACAGTCTTTGTAGGAGTTGTTTGCTTTTTTTTAAACATAGCTATAGATTTTATGGAAGTTAATCTGGCAAATAAAACAAGAAATAATAGTAAATGGGGTTTATAGTCATTGAAAAGATGTTCTTGCACTTTTTAAGTGTTTTAATAGTATGGACCCTTTTCTTTTTTTTTTTGAAAGGATTCTGATTTCTGATCTGATAACAAAGTAATGCTTGATCCTCTCTGTGTTTTCATCACCATGGTATAAAAGTGCCTTACAGAGAAATAAAGCAGATGGTTGCAGTCTTTTTCTTGAAACTTCCCATAGAAGTGGCCCCTGAAAGACTGTGACAGCCTGTCCATGTCAACATATTAGTGTTACTAGTATTGTATTGGCACATATACATCAGTGAAACAAACCCAAGAATTTCTGTGCTGCCATTGTAACAGATGGCTGGGAATAGGAAAATAGCCCAGAAAGCATTTCTGCATGCAGTAGTGCTGCTAGCTGAAGGCAACCTGAAAGTGTTTGTTCACCCTGAAAACATTTTCAGATGGTTTAGTGGATGAAACAGGCATTGATAATGTGGCCAATTTAGTGAAGTACTAAATTTTTGGCAGTTTCAGAGAGAGATTTCAAACATCTTGGGCTGAGCTTGTTACTTATTGATGAAATTAGCATAGATATATTGCAGTCTCCATGAGAGGCTGCTCTCTGCTCATCATCTTCAAGGGATCAAGTTCTTTTGGATTGGCAGACAGGACACTATTTCAGCAATATATGAAAGTACACATTCTCATCCATGAAAGTCAATAACAGGACAGAAATGTAACCCCCAACAACAGATATGAACACTTTTTAATCAAAATTAACTTTTCTAGTTCTCTTTCTCCTTTACCACACCTTCCCATCCTCTCCCCCTACCCTCTGCCAACTTTTCCAGTGGCTTCTTGGGTGCTGTGCAGACAGTATGCAGAATTTATGTAACTCTTCCCATTCTGCTAATTCCAGTCGACTGCAGATACATATAATGACAGCATTCATGTCATTTTGTGGCCAAAGAGAGGATGCTGTAATGTATTTTCTGAAAGATAAACACTTACTTTCTGCTTTGAGCTCATCTGGCTGAAGATGGACATTGAGCTTATAAGTATTTGTTTAACATTGTCCTCCCCTTTCCATCCTACAGCAAATTCTTTCCATCCAGAAGCCATGGTGTGGATAAAGCACCACAATATTAAATCTAACAACAGTTCTGTTTCCAGAAGGTGGAAACAGTTTCATTTCCAGCATAAGGTAGATATGCAAGTGGAATATCCAGAAGGTGGAAGCCACAACTAGTCAGAGGAGAAATATGCATATACTCATCTGCAAGGTACCTTTTTTTAGTTAGGCGACATCAACACAGATGTAAGCATATGTAAGGGAACAAATACCTGTGAAAAAGAAAATATCTGGCAAGAAAATTACCTTTACAAGTAAAAATAGCAAATAATCAGATATTTGGACAGTAGGTTATATTACTTCCTTACCACTAACATGAATTAAGCTGGTAGAAAACCATTTTTACCTGATCTGCTATGAAACATGGGTGAGAAAATAATTAGAAAAAAGAATTCAGAGAATTCTTTAAAACCTTGACACTATGTCAGGCAATGTGTGATACATATTACAGATAGCTCAGCTGAATCACACAAACATATCTTAAGGTTTCATTTTTCCACATACCATTTTGCAACAGCTGGCATGTTTGGTTTTTTTTCTTTTTTTCTCCCTTACTAATACAAAATTCTTGAGTGGGTTGGCTGTGAACTCCCATCTTTCTAAGCAGTTAGCACCAAATTATGATTTTTTTTCCCCGCTTTTTGAAGAGCTAGACTTGAGATACAGTAGGGACTGAGCTTAGAGAATCAATTTCTGCGTCTGATGGGCATCTGGGATGGTCCTGTGCAGAGATGAACATCAACAATACCTCTTCATTAAATTATGCTTCTCCTTTTGTAAAAGGAAAGAAAACCCTAGATTTATGAACACATAAGTCAATCTTATATTTCAAGACACTGAGAATCAGGCATTTCCATCAACAAGAAGGGTGACCCCAGAGCTGAGCAGAATGAACACTGGCAAAGCAGACAGGTTTCTAGCAGAATTCCTGACAAATTCTAGTAAAATCATGTCCTGCACAGAATTATTTCTATCTGAAAGAATAGACAAATCTGGTGAAAGCACGTCTGTCTCTGAGTGAACCTAGCCGGAGTCGTTTATTGTCTAGCAGCTTTTAATTGTCTCCCCTGCTCGCAACTATCCTGCACGTATCAGCATATCTCTTATTAATTTGTCAATTATTTTGTTGTTCTTGTTTTAGCTCTGTGGGCACTGTGCAAATGATGGAAATCAGACTGGATATCAGGACTTCCCCAGCCTTAGCTGAGACAAAGACTTACAGGAGAAAAGTGAAGATGGTAAATTAGCTTCAGTGGGGACATGCAAGCTGGGCACCACTTCAGGTAGAGAAATTGTAAAAAACAGCATTACAGATCCTGAGGAAGAAGTCAACAAGTAGATTAACTGATCTAAATACTAAGGAGTGAAACCAATGTTTGAAAATGATGGGATGGGGAGAAGGGTGCTCCAGCACCCAAGCTAGCTTTGTTTCGACAGGTGCCAATCTGGTGAGTAGTAGACACAATCATAAGTATATTTCAAAAGAAGAATTTTAAAAGATCTGTGAAGGAGCAAGATTCAGGATAGAAGCAGTTCCAGGCGTGGAGAAAGACATACAGCAATTGTCAGGACTTTATTATATGGACTTTACCGTTATTATGTGGTTTCAGATATGTGTATCGCATTGTATCCACATTACACAGTGCACAGCCTGGCACACCCAGGCTTGCCACAAGTTTTGCCTGCTCCCTGCTTCCCCGCTCCCCTCTCTGATAGGCTGAAGAAGCTGCCATTCGCCCTTTCCTTCCCTGGTTCCTCCCATGTTCCTCCCCCTTTGCCTGGGTCCCTACCCCGATTTGCTCCCCCATTTGTCTGTCTCATGCTCCGCCCCATGTTCTAGTCCTTTCCCCTCCTAAACTCATAAAACCCCAGGCACACCTCAATAAATTATTCCATTTGCACCTCTACCTTGTCTCCGGACCCGTCCGTGCTATGTCATGGCCCCATCCGCCCTCGGATGGTCAAAGGTCAATAAACATCACAGAAATATAAGCTTATTTGTTACTTAGAAACAGACCTCAGTGATTCAGAGCCATTTCTTAAATATATCTTTGACTGATACTGTCCCTCCAATGCAGGTAACAGAAGACTGATTCAGTCTATCTGACACAGACTATCAAGGTCTGCACTTCCCCCTGTTCCTTCCCATCTCCTTCATTTCCTTCTCTGAACCAATGTATTTGTGGATCTTGGACTGGATCGCAGCCAGAAATATCCAAAAATGCAGTCTCATATTGCCTAAATCCATAAAGAGGAAACTATTCAGACAACTGATGCACCTTAAGGGCAGAACATTAAATTGATCCTTTGGCAAGGAACACTGTGTGTAACTTTACACAGCAATTCCCATAAATACTAATAAGATTATCAACCAAAGCACAGATTATCTTGAGCTGTGGTTGTGTTTTTGGAGCAGCTATGAGAACAGTTTGTACCATGTGCAAGCACTTGTACAGTCTATATGTTCCCCCCAACCTACCCTCCCCCAAAATCTGTGCCTCAAGAAGAGCTCATGACAAAGCATCATCATGTGTATTCAAGGTGACTGTGTTACTGAAGCATGGCAAATCACCCAGTGGAAACGGCACTACTGGGTAATCAGGGGGCAATGGCTCAGATATTCTTCTGCCATAAGTGAGTGGAATGGAAGTAGCTGTTGCTTCCTACATCTCCCATTATTTTTTCCTAAATGTTGGAAGACCTCAGGACAACTTGTGTGGGGTCTTTCTGGGGCAGCCTGAGTCTTGATATCCTTCCTGCATTTTCTCAGCTGAATGAGTGGCCTCCACTGGAACACTGTGTGTTCCAGCTCCCCCCTTTTCAGTCTCTAGACATTTTCAGTCAACTTGCATTTCTGGATCAGCACTGAAGGACATAATATATACAGTTGTGTGTACATGTGGAGTTGAATATGTATTCAGATCTGATTTACAGTTTGAACTACAGGTCTAACTGGGCTATTTCTGGAGTTACCTGTATCATTCTGCAGAATGTTACTGTTCCCAAAACCATTTTTCTTGGAACTTAAATGTATTATATACGAGCTTTGAAAAGAGCATTTTCTATTACTTTTTAAGAGAGTCTTTAAAAAAAGAGCATATATTATTAGTACCTTTCCCTGGAAACCCTTCTGGCTACCACTATCTATGTTTCATGGAATAAGTTTTCCTCTCTGAGAAACATTAACATTACTCTCCAGATTTTTCAGCATAATATTTGTGACCCTGTATTCTAATGCATATTTTTACCTCTTGGCCCCTCTTTGGAAACTGGTTGCCACTTAGAGTAGCCTTAAGAAATTCAGTCTGACGAAACATTCTTCATGATCAGGACGAATTAAGTGTTTGTTTTAACAGTAGATACAAGGTACATTTTTGTATATGCCCAGCTATTTTTTCACTTGTTTTGAAGTAATTTACTAGATAACAATGGCACATAATGTCGTCATCCATAACAATATCCACTGGTATCGAAATGATCCTCTCAGCAGATGCCTCCAGATTGGTATATAGTGGTATAGCTCCAGTGGAATTCCTAAGATTCAATGACGTGAGAAGGGAACTAAATAGATTTCATGCACATCTCTCTGGGGATGCATAAACCCCAAGAGATGCAGAGATACAAATCAACTTCAGTGTAGCAACTGACGTTCTCATGATCAGGAATCTAGCTGGCCCATTAAGAAATAGGCTTTCAGTTTTGAGTAGGCTGGTGATATCTGTATTTTCAAATTCCTGCTTGCATTTGAAATTAGGAATAACTTTGCTGAAATTCTGCCATCAGAGAGCTACCAGATTTCTCCATATGTTCAGCATAAAGGATGAGGATGCCTTTCCTATTCAGACTGATTCATCCTTCCTTAACACAAGGCTCTGAAGGAGTTAAAATCTCAGTCTAGCAAAGACTGAGGTCTTGCCAACCTTTTTTTTTTTTTTTGTAAGGTGCCAGACATAAAAATAAAGAAGATGTATCAGCACACTTCCTTAGAAGCTGAGCTTCCTGATTAAGAATAAATACAGGATATACAGTGTATTTCATGCTGAAATGCATTCCCTGCTAGAATTTCATGAATACAATTAGCCATTAGCAACATCTTCACAGAGAGAACTCAGATCAGGAAATAATAGAAATGGCCACATACTGTTAAAATGTGGAGAGGGAGAAAACCACAAAACAAGAGCCAACTCTTGAGTTAGTATTGTCCTGGTACTGCTCTGTGTCTGTCTCTAGTCAGACTGAGAAGACTGAATGAGCAATCATGTTGTAAAATGCTCAGCAGGAGCTACGATGCAGTGGGTTTGTGCTCGTTATTACTGCGCAGCAGTGATGGTTGGTCCTGGAATGCTGCATTTCACCAGTTTAGTCTAGAATACCTATATGTCACTGCTTTTTATGAGTACCTTAAAGTACCTTAAACATACACGAATTAGAATTATTTCAGTGGTAGGAAATTCTTTCGGTTTTTTGGTGTGTAAGTACTACAAATACTGGTGAAAAACCTGAGCACTCAAGTGTGAACATTGATCTGAAGGTTCTCTGCATTTGGTGCTGCTTGGGGCCATCACAATATACAGAAATGTGTTCTAGTTTTTTGGGGTTTTTTGTGATTTCTTTTACCTTGCAACCTTTGCCTTTTTGGGCACAGGAAAGGCTTCTATTGGATTGGCAACTGCAGCATGTACATGAGTGCCTAGTTCTGAGCTCCTATTGCTTGTTTCCTGCAGTACAATAGGAAATATTTACTCTCTTTGCTTCTTTACATCTACAGTGGATAGAGAACCTGGCTGCTACCAGGTTTAATACACAGGCTTAGGGAACTGAGTGTGCTTTATCTTTCTTCAATGCTTGGGATTAACTTGGGGTTGCCTGAATCTGTTGCTTTGAGGAAAGTCTTCTCTGTGTACTTTCTACATTGTATTGAGTGAATTGCAATGTTTTCCATTTTAACGTGTAATACAAATAATCATTGTATCTTCCAACAGTACTTGCAGATATTTCTGACACCCTGGTTAGGAGCCAGGTTCTATGATGTTAGAGCTAAAATGAGTAGAAACAAGTTGGATTTGTGACTCTGGTGCCTGGAGGTAGCACCATAGCTTGGACTGAGTGTAGTAAAAGGAAGATAGTAAAAGATTGATGCCCAGAAGGTGATGTGAAGCATCCACTCTGCTTATTTCAGGTTCAAAGGGGATAGTTTCAGAGGACTTCCTGATGTACAAATAAATATCTACATATCTACAACTCTCCCTTCCTGAACTACAAAGAAACATCTTCCCACGTACTTCAGATGGTTTTTAATAAGGATTTAATTTTATTGTCTGTGTTTTAGTGCTACAGCTATGGCTGAGGATTTTTTTCTTCTCCCACCGAGTCTAATTTCCCCAATACTGGAACACATCATATAACTCTCTCCATGATCATGCTGCAACGATGTTGTCATATTTATTTTTATCTTCTCTTGTACGAACCATATTAAATAGTGACTATTGTAAGGTTATTTAATTTAAACTTAATTGGCAATCCAAAACCTACCATTTTTTTGCCATTGATCATAATGATTTTAAGGTGTACTCTGCCTAAATTCTGGGTCTAATAAATAAGGAGCAGAGTATAGATGTAGAAAAAGAAGGAGACCTAAGGAAGAAAGTAAAACATTTAGGTAGAACCTGCTTGAGATCCAGCCATGTTCCTGTGGTGAGGCAAGGCTGGGAATTTTGTTCCCCAGTGATAAATTGCAATACTCAGTTCTAAAAAAAATCTCTGGTGGACAGATGAGCTGAACAGACATGGTAAATGTTTGTGGCATGTATCGAGAATGGACAAGAAACACACTGCTGTGCAGAACCTTAAGGAAACCATATGTTCTCAGAGTGTCTTTCTGTTTTCTTTGGTGAATGGGTTTATCTGTTTTCATAACTTAGTTACACTCAAGAGAGAGTATTTATGCCAGCTGAGCTAGGAACACTATATACAGGCTAGTAGTGCCATACCAGTACTCACTAGAAAAAAACATCAAACAGGATACAAATTCCTCTTCGGAAAATCTCTGTTTCTGAACTGTGCTTGAGCTCTTTTTTTCCTAGAATTGCCCCTTCCTTGCTTTTCTGACTCCTCACCAGAGCTGAATGCTGTGCTTCCCATGCCAGTTCCTACTTGGATCATAAGCCTTTGACGGTTGAGCTTCCATTCTGATTCTCTCTCCATAAAATTAAATGCAGAGCTCAAGGCCACTCTGTAAAGCAATCAAGCTTGCATCTTGAATGGGCACATCTTCTTCTTTAAAAGTTCAAGACATTGTATAAACATGCATAGCCTGAAATATATATATATGTAATTTTTTTAATGTTTTACTATTCGACCACAAGGTTCAGACTCTTATTTACAGGCTCCTTATAGACTTTTTCAGCAAGCAGATTTTGCATTAGTTTGCTCAAAACCTGAAAGCAGCATCAAGGGCTAAAGAAATCTGAAATTCATCATTTACAGGCTCCTCAAGTGCGAATTTAATATGAGAGAAAGCTAACAGTATTATTGCTGCCAGGGTATATGGCTCTGAAACCATTCAGCAGGGCCAGAATGAATTAGGTTTCTATCTGAAAAGGACGCTTATTGACAAAAATGCATCAGCCCATTTCTCAAGGGAAAATCAAAACCATTCTTTTCCAGGATTCACACAGAGAACTTTGGAAAGCATTTATTTTACAAACAAAATGAGGCATACTGCTTCCTCTCTGTGCTGCACTCATCAACTCAGTATTCTAATAGATTTAACAAGAGGCACTAGTAAAAATCACGGTTTGAGCTGAGAAATTTATTTCTAATGAACACTTACAAATTAGATTAATTTAGTCTCATTTCTCTTAAAGCAATTGGTTTCCCTATGGAGATGTTTCACCTTACCTTGTAAGCAGTCCCATTGCTAACCACGGAAAAGCTACCTTTGAGGACGGCTATGAGTGACCAACTCCATCAGTCACACTCAGAGTTGTTCATCGCTCTGCTTCTTCCTTCCTCCTATTGCTGTTGAAGTAGTTGCTGTAAAGTACTTGAGATTTTATTATATGAACTATGGGATCAGTTATAATTAATGCAAAATTGTTTGTTTCCTGGCAGGGTGATGCCACATCTGGGGATGTGGCTAAACTGATCATGACGACCATTTCTCCCTTTGGATGACGAAAACTTGGAGGAAAAGCTGAGGAGGCCACATATGCTTTTGTTTCCTCAGTAAATTCTAGCAACTTAAAGCCAGGTAGCAGAGAGAGTTACAGATCTTAAACTAATAATATTGATTTTCCTTTCTGGAACACACAGCCCCTCTCCAAAGCATTGTTCTGAGAAAAATATTAAGAATCTGTCCCTATAGCTGTGCTTAGCAGAAGTATTAATGTTACTCTTAGACTGAATTAAGCAGGATAACATATAGCAAATACATAGGAATAATATGGTTTCCTGATTTTCATCATCACTACAGTGATTATTCTTCTAATTTTACACATACTGAAATTACAGAGATTTAGCAGAGTCCTTAATATTGTCTTTTAGAAGCTACTCTTGCAAGTCTTGGAGTGTTTGCTTACATAGTGGTTTTATATATGTTCCTGTCCATATTTTTGTAGATAAAAGTATTTGTATGCATTTCTAAGAAACTGGATGGAAAAAAAGAGTGTAGTAAAAGAGGACCCAATTTCTTTCTCCATTTGAGGGAACAGGGACAGGACCTACTGAGCTGTAATGTGGAAAAGGATAACTACTGATCAAAGCAGCTGCAAAATTGCATGTAAGCCAGAAAACACAGTTTCCAGGTCTCTGATATTTTTCATCTTCTTTTGTCCTCTCTGGATAAGCTGAGGAGTACACAGAAGGGCATAGTCTCAAGAGCACCCTCAGCCAGTTTGCTGATGACCCAAACTGCGAAGAGTGGCAGACCCATCAGAAGGTCATGTTGCCATCCAGAGGGATCTGGATAGGCTGGAGAAATGGGCTGACAGGAGTTTCAACGCAGGAAAGTGTAAAGTCCTGCACACAGTGAGGGGCAACCCCAGGCACCACTATATGCTGGGGAATGCCCATCTGGAAAGCAGTTTTGCAGAACAAGACCTGCGTTGAACACAAGCCAGCAGTGCACCCTGGCCACTAAGGTGCACTTGTATCCTGGGCTGCATTAGGCATCCTGGGCCATGTTGTCAAAAGGTCAAGGGAGGGATCCTTCCCCTCTGCTTGGCACTGGTGAGGCCACACCTTGAGTGCTGTGTCCAGGTCTGGGGATCCTCAGTACAAGAGTTCCTTAGACCTACTGGAGATAATCTAATGATGGGCCACAAATGTGATGAAGGGACTGGACTATCTCTCCTATGAGGAAGAGCTGAGAAAGCTGGACCTATTCATCTTGGTAAAGAGAAGGCTCAGGTGGATTTTACCAATGTTGTAAGTACCCGAATGGAGGGTGCAAAGAGAATAGAGCCAGAGTATCTCTTCAGTGGTGGCCAGCGACAGAACTTGCGGCAATGGGCACATACTAAAATACGTGAGGTTCCCTCTGAACATCA